CATTCCCAACAGACACTTACCCAATCAGGACCTCGGAGAGTGAGGTCTGGGAATCTAATTTTGAAGCAGGTGGTCTCCTGGTAAATTATATGCTAGTAGCTCTTTCTTCCACGGGTAGGGAAAAGGAAAAGTCATATTTTGGGAAAATGCTGCACACTTCCAGCTGGAAAAACAGTTTTTGTTAAGTGGGACATAGTGTGCTTGCAAAGTCTTGCTGTGGTCCCTCTTCCCTCGCTCTCCAGAGTCTGTGTAATTTCAGGGCTTGTCTAATCCTGCCGACTCTATTAGCAGATCCTGGATGTGCAGGCTCTCGTTCTTGACATCTGAACCTCCATGCAAGGTTTAAGTGCCTGGGCATTGGAGATATTTCTCTTGGGGTTTTCTGCATGAGCAAGGCTGTGTTTCCACTGCCAATGCTGCCCTCTGAAGCCCCTGGCTGGAAGGAAGAGTGTTCAGTCTCCCACTCCTGGGACAGAGGTCAAGGAGGGCTTTCCCATTACTGCCAGAGATAAGCAACAAGGGACTCTGGAGAGGAAAAATGCCAAGGAGGAGAGCAGGAAACAGGCTAAGGTCGTGGGCAGCCTCACCTGTCCTGTCTTGGGTTAACAGTGGTCTACAGGTTAAATCAAATTGCATGCCCCTGATTCAAAGTGCTGCCCACGAGATAGCCACAGGGCTTCTTTGTATCTGCAAGGCACTCTTCCAGCTGGGTTTATTAGAGATGACTCATAGGTGGGGGTGTTGGAAAGGAAAACAATTCTTTCTTGAAATTTCTGGAGTGGAGTCCAGCTATTCCAAGTGCAGAAACTTCTTAGTCTGACTCCCCTTTGACATCAGATTCCCCGAAGCTCAGGGCCTCCCAAACATCTGTCTGACCGTGTCATGGTCCTCAGAAACCTTCAGCGGCTTCACAGCACCCTGCAGATTCAAATGCAGACCCTTTGTCTTAGCTTTCGGGGTCTCCGCCACTTCCCCTTCCTCATGTCCCCACCGTTCGTGTTGTTCTCTTCACTTTAAAAGTTCTCATCACTTTAAAAGCCTCATCGACCTTTAACTTTTAACCCTTGAACTCACCACACATGTCCTGCCCTCCAAACCTTTGTGCCGGAACTCGGCTTCACCTACCCTTGACACCTACCCAAGGACCCCCCTCATACCCCATCATTCCCCCCATCCCACTTCCCTGAAATATTTTTTCATGATCTTATGACATCTGCAGTTATTTGATTTTTTTTTTTTTTTTTTTTTTTTGAGACGGAGTCTGGCTCTGTCGCCCAGGCTGGAGTACAGTGGCCGGATCTCAGCTCACTGCAAGTTCCGCCTCCCGGGTTCACGCCATTCTCCTGCCTCAGCCTCCCGCGTAGCTGGGACTACAGGCGCCCGCCACCTCGCCCGGCTAATTTTTTGTATTTTTTAGTAGAGACGGGGTTTCACTGGGTTATCCAGGATGGTCTCGATCTCCTGACCTCATGATCCGCCCGTCTCGGCCTCCCAAAGTGCTGGGATTACAGGCTTGAGCCACCGCGCCCGGCTGAGTTATTTGATTTATCTGCTTATACATTTATCATCCTTCCCCATAAACAGAGAGGCGGCATTAGTCTTGTTCATTGTGTATGTCCAGTACCTGGGGCACTCCAGGCCAAGTCAATGTTGAATGAATAAAAGGCCAGTTTCACGTTTAGCAGAGCTCTGCATAAGGGTTTTGAGACATCATGAGCTTTCCCATGGGGGCTGGGATATTTCCCATCAGTCTGAGAGTCTGAGGATCTTAGAAAAGGAAAAGACAAAGAAAGCCAGGTCACAGTAACTTGGGATTTTGATTATCCTTGTCAAGTCAAGCGTCTGTATTGGGAAGAATTAGGTGTTATCTTAGGCTTGTCTCAAAGAAGGGCATTTTGACTCAGTTAGTCATAGCTCCCGGGAACTTTCTGCTTTACCCACACCTACACCCAAAATGATAAAGCAAAAAGTGTGCAAGTTGTGAAGGCATCTAGCATCGTGGTTAAAAGTTGGGCTTGGGACCTCTGTCTCTTACTGGCTATTTGACCTTAGGTAAGTTATACAAATTTGATGAGCCTGAGTTTCTTACTCTGTAAAATGGGACTAACAATAATTGCTACTTCTTAGGGCTGTTACGAGGATTAAATGAATGATGTAAAGCACTTAGGATATTACCTGACACATCATACATGTTAGTTCTTGTTATTTTCAGTGCCCTACCGTTTTTATGTCCTTCATGACCAACAGCAATTCCAAATGTTTTTCAACCATCTTAGACTTTCTGGTGCCAAGAGCTGTGTCCTCTTTTTGTAGATTCCAAAATGTCTAAGTCAGCTTTTCCCAGTCTAACTCAGACATTTGTCTAACACTCTGTCATGATTTTATCATAATTACATATCCGCTCTACTATTTTTACTTATTTTCTATTTATGGCCTTTTTAAACTTAAATTTATTGAAAGATGAAAATATATCTCATCATCATAAATGAAAAATCAACATCACTTGCCATTAATATAAGGTGTGTTAGTCTGTTATGCATTGCTATAAAGGAATACCTGAGGCTGGGTAATTTATAAAGAAAAGTTTATTTGGCTCATGGTTCTGCAGGCTGTACAAATATGGCACCGGCATCTTCTTGGCTTCTGGTAAGGTCTCGTAGCAGAAGGAGAAGGGGGAGCAGGGGTGTCACATGGCGAGAGAGGTAGCAAGAGAGATAGAAGGAAGTGCCAGGCTCCTTTAAACAATCAGATCTCAGGGTCTTTAATAGAGTGAGAACTCACTCATTACCATAGGGAAGGCACCAAGCCATTTGTGAAGGATCCATCCTCATGACCCGAACACCTTCCACTAGGTCCACTTCCAACTTGGAGGTCATGTTTCAACATGAGACTTGGAAGGGACAAATATGCAAACCATCTCATAAGGCAACCTGGAAAAAATAAATTTTCAAATGGAAAAATCCATTGATAAAACTCCCTGTGGATACTGCTACCTGTCGAAATCCAGGACTGGACATAACACGTGTTGGAGACACCTTCTCTCTGGTGCCATCAGATTGAAAGAGAATTGGAGAGGGGCTTATGTCTCACCCTGTGATTCAGCATTGTCTCATATTGCCCATGTCCCTCTTTGCTCCCCTGCTGCACTCTTGGTGGTCCCAGGTCTAACTTTTTCAGAGAGGAATTCAGAGCCCCATGAGGACCATGAAAGACCAAACAAGAGAAAAACTGGGGAATTGTGCACAAATATTCCAAAACAATCAGCTAGGCTGGTGGTTCTCACCTGAGCATGCATCCGATTCACCTAGAGGGCTCGTTCAGACCCAGAGTGCTGCCTGCTACAGCCTAGCCTCCGAGTGCTGGTTCAGCAGGTCTGCCGTGGGGCCCCAGAAAAGTTCCCAGGTGGTGCTTATGCTGCTGTTCTGAGGACGCTACTTTCAGAACCACTGAACTAGACTAATTGGAGGAATCAATGTTGAGTCTGTGCCTGCATATTCAAACCATTATTTTAAAGAGAACTGTCAAATCAGGAAGAGAGTGGGGGCAACTGTAAAGTTCCTACTTCTGAGTTTAGTATTTGTGTCTATTTTCATACTAAATCTCCAAGCAGCCTGAGGGCCACCATCTGGCAAAGATGTTGGCTGCTGGAAGTTAGGCTGGTATGTGCAAAATGGTAAGAGAATTCAAGGGGATATGAATGGGGCACTTATGGCATCTTCCGCAGGGTGTATCTATCCTATTGACATAAAACTCTAAAAGAAAAGGACAAAGCCAGGCTGCAGTAATTTGTGATTTTTATTATCCTTGTGAAGTCAGGCAACTCGAGGGGAAAGAACAAGGTGTCCTCTTTGGCTCCTTTCAAAGGAAGACATTTTCATTCTAAACTCTTCAACTTTATGCCTCTAAAACTTAATACCTGGCACCAATTTCATTATAATTGGAAGCCCTGGTTGAATGTGTCCTACAGCTTGAGGCTTTAAGAAAAATGAGCGGCCACCTTTGGGACCACTGACCCAGGTTTTCTGTCAGGGCAAGTCAGTTAATCTCAGTTTTTCCATCTGTGAAATGGGAATGATAATAATGCCCATTTTGTGAGATTGTTATAAAGATTAAATGACATAGTATAAAATGAGTCTTCAAGTAAATGGAAGATGATGAGAAGAATTGTGATGATGATCATGGATACAGGCTAATGGGAAAAGCATGATATTTGATATTTGTTTAAAACATGAAGTCCATGTGGGCAATGCTAATAAAACAGCTGCCATCCACTGTTGGACCACCCAAGACTGACCTGAGAGAGTAGGATACTAGAAGCCTGTCTCCAGAGTTAATTTCCTGGTTTGCTAAGGATATGCCTTTGCAGTAGCTGCCCCATCTCATCTCACATCTTAGTATCCACAGCACCCAGAGCTTTCCAGACCACTGGGGGCATCCCATCTATCCACCTATCCATCTACCTACCCATCCACCATCCATCCATCCATCCACCCACTCACCCACCCATCTATCCATTTATTTATCTATTCACTTCCCCATCTATCCATCTATCCACACATCAGCCATCAATCTATCTGTTCATTCATCTCCCATCCATTCATCTATTCATCTATCTACCCATCTATCCACCCACTCATCCAACCACCGGTCCATCCATGTACCCATTTATCCATCTATTCATCCACTCATCCATCTACCATCCATCCATCTGTTCAGCCACCTATCAGTCTATCCACCCATTCATCCACCCAGCCATGCATCCATCCATCTACCAATTTATGCATCCAACTACCCATCCATCTATCCGTGAATCCATTCACCCATTCATCTACTCACCCATCTATCCCCCATCCATCTACCCATCCATTCATTCACTCATCCACCCATCCACCCATCCATCCATCCATCCATCCATCCGTCCATCCATCCACCCACCCACCCACCTGTCCACTCACTCAGCCATTCACCTATCCATCTTTTTCTCTCTTTATCTTTCTCAGGTTAAAGTGCCACAACAAATGCACCAAAGAAGCCCCACCCTGTCATCTTCTGATCATCCACCGAGGAGGTAAGTATTTAACACTTACTGCCCTAGGGGTAGGGGTGAGGTGGGGCTCCTGCAGGTCCCGCACATAGCTGTCCCACTCGGGTTGGTTCTGAATACCTCCTGATCCCCACATAGTTCCCCACATGGTTTCTTCCTCTCTAACACCATTCTCCCTGACATCTGTCTCCTTTATCCTCCCTTATGCCTCTTCTCTCTATTTCTTGCCCCTCTACTGGTCCCTCAGACACTTTAGCCCCTTTTGTCTCCCCACTTAACCCCTGCTCTCTCATCCTGCCTCCTGTGCTAACTTCTAGCCTCTTCTGTTTACCAATCCCATTGCTTTTCTTCCCACCAAAAAGAGCACTGGCTGGGTGTTTTTCCATTGTGTGTTCGCTAGATTTAATCAATTGGCCTTGCAAAAGTAGGTATGAGGAGGGGTACATCTTGGGCCTGTTGGATTGGGCCATCTGTGTCCTGTCTCCTGGGGCCCTAGGAGTGTTCGAGCCAACCTATCCAGGCAAGGAAGTAACAGCCCTGGGAGAGCCACTACCAGGATTCCACTGCAAAAGCAAGACAAATCTGGCTGAAAGGAAAGGCTTTTCCCTGACTGCCAAGGACTTACTTATAAGGGACACTGTCTTGGGAACTCTTGTAGTCCAGCTTTCAAAATAGTTCCCCTGATCCTTGTCCAATGGGATGATCACCCCCAAACTCCATTATCCATATTGAAATTTATCCCTGAGGGACTTTCTGGACCTGTGCTGCCCAATACAGTAGCTACTAGCTACATTTGACTATTTAAATTTAGATTAATTAAAATCAAATAAAAACACAAATTTAATTACTCAGTCACACCAGCCACATTTCAAGGGCTTATATTGGTACAAATATAGAACGTTTTATTGATTGCAGAAAGTTCTACTGCACACCATAGGCCAGATTCTTGCTATTCAAAGCGTTGTCCATGGACCAGCAGCATTAGGATCGCCTGGGAGCTTGTTAGAAATGCATGACTTATGAGGCCGGGCGTGGTGGCTCACGCCTGTAATCCCAGCACTTTGGGAGGCCGAGGCAGGTGGATCATGAGGTCGGGAGATCAAGACCATCCTGGCCAACATGGTGAAACCCCATCTCTGCTAAAAAAAAAAAAAAAAATTAGCCGGGTGTAGTGGCAGACACCTGTAGTCCCAGCTACTTGGGAGGCTGAGGCAGGAAAATGGCATGAACCCGGGAGGTGGAGCTTGCAGTGAGCTGAGATCACGCCACTGCACTCTAGCGTGGGCAACAGAGTGATACTCCATCTCAAAAAAAAAAAAAAAAAAAAAAAAAAAAAAAAGAAAAGAAAAGAAATGCATGATTTATGGCTCCACCCCAGACCTACTGAATGAGAATCTGCATTTTAAACAGGATTGCAGGGAATTCCCATGCACCTTAAAGTGGAGAAGCACTCTCTGGAGCAGGAGTCAGACATAAACTGAGATGCCTACGAGGGCCAAGTAGATGTCTTAAATGTGAGAAGTTGGCCAGATGGGGCTGTAGGACACTGGAAAACCCAAGTGCCATCTAGAGAGGGTAGCCAGCCACTCCAGCCATGTGGACCTACATCGCCAGCATTTCTGACATTTCCAACAAAAGCCCAAATAGAGAATTTTGTGTGCCAAATACTTATTTTTTATTTACTCAGTGTTTTTTGAGACGGAGTCTCGCTCTGTCACCCAGGCTGGAGTGCAGTGGTGCAATCTCGGCTCACTGCAACCTCCGCCTCCCGGGTTCAAGCGATTCTCCTGCCTCAGCCTCCTGAGTAGCTGGGATTACAGGCACACGCCACCTCGCCCGGCTAATTTTTGTATTTTTAGTAGAGGCGGGGTTTCACCATGTTGGCCAGAATGATCTCAGTCTCCTGAGCTCCAGTGATCCACCCGCCTCGGCCTCCCAAAGTGCTGGGATTACAGGTGTGAGCCACTGCGCCTGGCCCATATGCTTATTTTTAAATGTAAGCAGTTTATTAAAATCTTCTAAACTCATGCTGGTCACCTCCCTGCAAACCCCTCATCTATAGGATGGATAGAGCCTTCAAATCACCAGGGAGCAACTTTAGAGTACAGCAACTTGCTAATCGGGCACTGAGTCCTCCTTCCCTGTCCTCCCGCTTTCCCACTCCCATGTCCCCTGGCCTTGATCAGTACATGTTCCTGGGAATCTGCCCTAATTCAGAATGAACCCAAGGGAAACTTAAAGAAGGAGGCAAATTGCTGCTGAAAGCACTGTGATGTGTCCCAAAGCCAGCTTTCAATGATCTTTGCATTGTTTATCTCCAAAAACACAGAAAATTGCAAGTGAAGGCAAAGTCTTCAGCTCCCTTCTCTTACCCTTCCCACCCCACATCCTTAATTGAGAGCCATCTGTTCCTTGAATAACTGTATACACTCAATGAGGCTATTTTAAAGCCTGAATTCTCACCTCTCTTGAGACCCTGCCTTGGGTCAGCCTCATTGGAAAAATTGCCTCCCACCAAATTCTCCTCTGTAAAAGGTTCTGCTAGCAGCTGATTCCCATATGGACAGAACCAGCCTGTTGGAAGGTGATGGCTCTCAGAGGCTGACATTTGAAGAAGGGCTCCCTCCCACCCACCCTCAAGGCCATGCCTCCTTTTGTTCAAAGGTGGCAGGTGTCTGTACATGCAGAGCAAACTGAACTTTGCAGAAATCCACCAGCTTCTTGCTTTTTCTCTCTGTTGGTTGGAAGTTGAAAATATAGTCAGTTTCCATGGTGATGGCAGCTCAGGCTAAGCAGAGAAATGAAATCCCTGGGTCAATCTGGAGCTTAAACTTCTCAACCAACACCCTCCCCTCACCACTGCAATAAAAACAAAAAACAAAAAACAGCTAACAAGTAACAATACCAGGCATCAGATTTGATTTTGATCTTCTCATTTTTGTCCCTTACTGTGTTCTCCTGTGAGTAATAGAAACAGAAGGGAGAGGGGCTTGGGCGACGTGATTTGGATCAGGAAGCATTTATTTAGCATCTACTATGTGCCTAGCTTCCTGGAACAGCTGTCTTTCTTTCAGGGATCCAGGGTTGTTTAGGACAAAGTGTTTCAATGTGCGGCAGGCTGCTTAGGCCTGAGAAATCCCAAAAGTAATGAAAGATGATCCTAACACAGGGGTTAGAAAGTTAGGGACAGGGCACCGTGACGAGCTTTTCCACTCATCACAGGCCCTGAGAAATCAGGAATCTCGTGTATTTAAAATGAATTTTGAGTCTGCCAATATGAAACAATTATGGTATTTTTAAAACCCTGATAGCTTTAGTTTTATTATTATCATCTTAATTGTCAAAAGTCATATATGGACAATAGAAATATGTTGCAAACCACAGAGAATACCCAGATCCCACCACAGAACGATGATCACTTTCAGTGAATTGTCCTCCAGTCTAGAGGCTGGGCCTAAGAGGTGGGATCTGAGCTATGCTCTCCTGGCATAACCAAAGACAAAGTGATACTTAAATTCCCAAATCAATGTTTTTCCCCCTACGGATCCAGCAAGGTTAGTCCGGACAGAGTCCGTTCCATGTGACATCAACAACCCTCTACGGAAGCCACCTCGGTATTCAGACCTGCACATCAGTCAGACGCTCCCCAAAACCAACAAAATCAACAAGGTAAGGCTGGGCTTCTGCTGGGTCTGGGCATGTGGGGCTGGCACTGCTGGGTGAGGGGTAGGAGGGAGGAAGGGTTGATCTGGAAGTATGGCGCTCCCTCCCAACCCGTCTCAGCTTCCCTAATTCTGTGATGTTTGTGTTGAGTAAAGCTTGAGGGACATCCAGCGATCAGTGGAGAGGCTTGTGTGCCAGAAATCTAATTTAGAGAGAGGCCATGTCGGAATGAGAATGGATGAGGGTGTCCAGGAAGGCACAATGGATGGGAGGAGAGGCTTAAAAGGAGTTTCCTTAGTGGTCCAGACCTCACTTACTTTGCTCTGTGACAGGTTTTGCCATCTGTATTAGTCTGTTTCATGTTGCTGATAAAGACATACCTGAGACTGGGTAATTGATGAAGAAAAAGAGGTTTAATGGTCTCACAGTTCTATGTGACTAGGGAGGCCTCACAATCATGGCAGAATGTGAAAGGCACATCTTATATGATGGCAGACAAGAGAGGGCTTATGCAGGGAAACTCCCCTTTATAAAGCCATCAGATCTTGTGAGGCTTATTCCCTATCACGAGAATTGCACAGGGAAGACCAGGCCCCGTGATTCAATTACCTCCCACTGGGTCCCTCGCATGACATGTGGGAATTGTGGGAGCTACAATTCAAGATGAGATTTGGGTGGCGACCCTGCCACACTATAACACCATCTTCCAGGACCAACTTTGCAGATGGTTCTGGGCTTTCTGACACATCTGTCGGATCAGACCTCCAAGGAATAGGGGTCTATTTCTGAGCTTCTGGTAGAGGCTGGGTGGGTGGGTTTTCTTTGGGGCCCTGAGCTCTGAGCAACAGGTAATTTGGTTGGCTTCTACCCTCAGACAGAGGTCAGCACTGGGCCCCTCTGTGCATCTTTCTTTCAGTTGTGGCCCAGAAATTTCTGGCATGATTTCCATATCCTTTATTTGATCTGCTGATGGGACTGTACCAAATCTATCCCGGGGTATGCCCAGCCTCACAGTAGGAAGCAAAGGTTGCACCCACCAGCAGGTGATTTCCCAAGCATCTCAAAGCTTTCATGCATTATGTCGAAGGTAGATGTCTTAGTCCATTTGCATTGCTATAAAGGAATACCTGAGGCTGGGTAATTTATAAAGAAAAATGTTTATTTGGCTCACAGTTCTGCAGTCTGTACAAGAAGCCTGACACCAGCATCTGCTTCTGGGGAAGCCACAGGCTGCTTCTACTCATGTTGGACAGTGAAGGGAAGCAGGCATCACAAGGCGAAAGGAAGGAAGGAAACGCGTGTGCGAGAGAGAGAAGGAGGGAGAGGGAGAGAGAGAGAGGGAGAGAGAAGAGGGGAGGTGAGAGGAGAAGAGGGGAGGGAGGGGAGGGAAGGCAAGGGGAGAGAGGTGCCAGGCTCTTTTAAACAGCCAGCTCTAGCAGGAATTAATAGGATGAGAACTCACTCATTACTGCAAAAAAAAAAAAAAAAAAAGAGAGACCAAACTCTTCATGAGGGATCCACCCCTGTGACCCAAGCACCTCCCACTAGGCCCTACCTCCAACATTGGGTTCAAATTTCAGCATGAGATTTGGAGGAGACAAATATCCAAACTATATCAGTGGAAAAAGCGCATTAGCCCAAGGATCAGGAGGGCACTGACCTGTGTTCAGGTCCTAGAGGAACATCGTGATAGCCGAGTCACTATTCACTGGCAATGCACAGAGAGAGGATTGCCCCCTTCCCAATCCATTTCCCACACATCAGCTAGAGTGATACTTAATGAATGCAATTTGAATGATGCCATGCCCTGCTTAAAAACCATCCAATAGCTTTCGATTGCATCTAGAAAACAAATCAGACTCTACTGCAGCCTGAAAGGCCATGCATCATTTGGTCCCTCCTCTATCTCTGACCTCTCCTTCCATGTCTCCCCACAAAGCTCATGTGTCCCCTTTCTCTTGAGCTATCTCCCCCGCCATTTTTATCTCGAAGCCGTTTACCATCTGGCTCCTTGTGGCATCATTTCAGCAGTTGAGTGAAGCTGGCTTCTGGAATCAGGCAAACCTGGCAGCCAGCCAGGGCTTCCTCTGCTTATTAGCTGTGGGACTGAGCAAGTAACTTAATCTCTCTGAGCCTCAGTTTTCCTGTATGTAAAATGGGGGTGTTCCAGTTATCTACTGCAGCACAACAAACCACCCAAACTTAGTGGCATATGACAATCATCCTTTTATTATACTCACAGAATCTGTAGGTCAGGAATTAGGACAGAGAGCAGAGGGAGTGGTTTGTCTCTGCTCCATGATGGGAATCAACTGGGAAGACTCACACAGATAAGGGCTGGAGTCATCTAAAACAGGGATTGACAAACTATGGCCCACAGGCCAAATCCAGCCCACCACCTACTTTCGTAAATAAAATTTTATTGAAACACAGTCATACCCATATTTCTGTGGCTGCTTTTGTGCTATAATGTCAGAGTTGGGTAGTCATGACAGAAACTGCATGGCCTGCAAAGCCTAAATTATTTACTGTCAGAATCTTTCCAGAAAAGGTTTTTTGACCCCTGATTCAGAGGCTCTTTCACTCCATGTCTGGTGCCTGGGCTGGGTTGAGTCGAAGCGTGGGTTCAGCAGAGTTGTCAACTAGAACACCTGTATATGGACTTGCTGTAATGCTTGGGTGTCCTCACAATATGGCTGCCTCAGGGTAGTTGGGCTTCTTACATGGCAGCTCATGGCTCAAAGAGCAAATGAATTAGCAAACAGGTGGAACTTTGACAGTGTCACTTCTGCTGCTCTTTACTGATGGAAGCAGTCACAAGCCTGCTCAGATTCAAAGGGAAGAAACACAGACCTCAACTCTTAGTGGGAAGAGTCCACAGATTTGTAGTCATATTTTAAACTGCCCATGGCAGGCAATAAGAACACCAACCTCAGACAGTTGTTATGAGGATGGAATTCAATAATCAACATTTAAATGCACTCAGTGTACTTACCGGCCCACAGTTAATATCCAGGAGATTCTAGCTATTATTATCAGCTTAAATTTAGGGGCCTTTGATCAAAACGTCAGGCTGGGTCCACTTTTCCTTTGTTATTCACAAAAGATACAGGTCTTTAGGAGAGGGGATCCCCACTGCTGGGAGGGCTGAGTAAGTTCAAATAGCGAGGCTTCTGGGAACTATAGTAACTGTGCATCCCTTATAACCCATTCTTTCCTTTGTGACATTTTGAGGGGTGAAGAGCTCAGAACCACCTTGAGACCTTTCTCTCTGGCTTTACAGGCACCATGAGCCTCTTGGTGTCAGATGAGACTGAAACATAGGTCAGATAGATCAGTGACTGTGACATTGTTCTGCTTGTCTGCCAGCAGGAGAATTTGATAAGGGAAATAAATTAACCTCTATTAAGAAAGCAGCTTTGACATGAAGGTGGACAGGATCTATCATAGGGCTGGGTTATTTTTTCCCCTCTTTCCCTTCTTGCTGGCTTCACACAGATTCTTCTTGTCAGGCAATGACGTGGTTAGTGCAATAAGTTTCTGAGCCAATTTGGTCTGAAGATTTTTTTTCACTGCTCTTTTTCTTGTCTCCTGTCTAGTTCAGTCATTCCAGTTCACAAAGGCCCTGCTTTTTCACCTAGCACAGTGGTTAGAGTGTAGATTTTGGAGTCAGGAAGTCTGGGCTTGCAACTCAGGTCTTTAACTTGCTGTGTGATTGTGGGCCAGTTATCTCAAGATCTGTCTGCCTTAGTTTTCCTTTATGTAAAATAGGCATAATAGGAGGTATTATTGGGGTTGCAGACAGGATTCGATGTATGATATGTATAAAGGATTTTAGTCCAATGCTGAGTACTCAGGGCATGGAAATAGCTTGATGATGACAAAGACAGAGAAAGAGGAGAAGGAAGAGGCAGGAGGAACAGGAAGGGGGAAGGAGGAGGAAAGGAAGCAGGAAGAGGAAGAGAAGGAGAAAGAAGGAGGAAGAAGAGGAAGACAGAGTGGGGTGGATGAGGAGAATGGAGGAGAGGGAAGGAGGAGAAGCAGCAGCAGTAGCATCTGCCAATTCCTTATGGGACCAATCTACAACCCTTGTACTTCCACATCAAGGCATCAAAACTACCATCTGCAGTAGTGGCAGAGGCTGAATCTCTGCCTGCTGTATTCAAGCTGTTTGAAGTGCCTGCATGCTGGCTTACTTTTGTTGGTTGGTTGCAAGGTACAAAGACCTGCCTAGGCTGGCTCTGCAAAATGAGTTGTCTTTTGTAAAGGGTGGACATGGGGCAATTCAGAGAAAGGGAAATCATCATTTAGGATCTGGACCTTATGAAACTAGACATGGAGGACAGTCTTGAGCTCAATCCAGCTCCTTGGACCCAAAGCAAGCCCATGGGCCATTATTTTGGTCTTCCATCGTGTCCCTGACTTAGCTACTCTTTGTGGGTCTGCTCTGATGTGTTGTTACTGTTGGCTGGTTTCTTCATCTTCTACTTTTGCCTTTCTTTCCTTTATCATTGCTTCTGCCTCCATATAGTTCATACTCCTTCTGACCTTTGGCTTCTTTGTTTTCTGGCCTGTTGTGGCTCCCCTGTTCTCTTTGAACCTCATCTTATCTCAGCCTTTGCTCCTAATGCTCTTCTTCCTAATGGCGTATCTCATTATTCCATCCCATATTATAGGTCACTGGTCAGCTTCCATTATGCTCTGGCCTATGGTCCTGTGTTGGGAGTGGGCTATGGAGGTCACAAGACAGGTGTGTCTGTTTAGGACAGTCCATTGAACCAAGGCTGTTGGGTTGGAGGGTGAGGACAGTTTCCTTAGAAAGTTTCCATGGGAGAACAGTGACCATCACCACCATGTCCAAATCAGTGCTCAGCTGAGTGAAGTGGAAACCTGGTGATGAACGTGCTTCTATTTGAGTTCCAGAGTCAGATGTGAATTTCTTATTACTTGGCACAACCTTGTGTTTTTGCTTCTGGGCCAGGACTTGGGACCTGGGCCACTAATGC